TGTGTGTGTGTGTGTGTGTGTGTGTGGCCAGCTCAGCCCACCAGGGGGCGGGGCTGGCTGGCATGTGGTGCTGGGGGATTGAACTGTGGGCCCTTTGCTTTGCTAAGCTTGTTCTAAGTAGGTGCTTTAGACCACTGAGCCATCTCACCAGCCCCCAGTAGGAATTTTAAGAGGTGTGTTGGTCAGCATTCTGTCACAATAACAAATACCTGAGATTTTTTTTTTTAAACAGGGTTATTTTGGCTGGCAATTTTAGAGGTTTCTGTCTACAGTCCCTTGGCCCAGTTTCTGAGCCCGAGGCAAGGCAGCACATTGTGGCTGCAGTGTGTGATACAGCAAAAAGAGTGAGTCATATTGAGGAAGTGGAAAAGAGCTAGAAGGCTTGGGATTTAAGGACTATCATCAGGCCACACCTCTTAAGTTGCCACCACTTCCCATAGTGCCAATTCTTTAAACATTTGGGCCTTTGAGGTTACTCAAGATGCAATATATTTGAAAATCCACCGGGGTGGGGCATAATCTTGTATGGGGAAGTGCAAGGCGTTGTAGGATGGCTGCTGTCTGTAGTGCCTGTGTATCTCATCCCCAGCCCAGCCCTGTCCTAGTGCCAAACAAAACTACCATGTGAGTGGCATTGTGTAAAGGATTATGTTTCTATTGTTTCCCATAAGTTATATAACTTCTCTTTTCTAAGGATCTGTTAAGGTAGATTTCATCAAATCTTTTTAATATTTTCAGGAGAGGCATGAAGTCTTCCTTAAGACTTGAACCATGTGCCTTTACCTTGACTTTGTGCATTTTTCCTATTTCATTATGCAGATTTGTTTCCTTCTCCTGCAGTGTTTCTCATGCTTCCTTTTGTGTCTTCTGGTGTTTGTCCAAGGCAATTTTCTTGTATTTAACGAAATAGAAACCATCTAGAATTGATTTTCAGACCAGACTTCCATAGTATGAATATTTTAAAGTTTTAAAAGATGTTCTTATTTAAGATTTATTTTAAAGATGGCCTTTATGCTGGGCATCTCTTATCCCAACCCGTTATCCTTTAGTCTTTTGTAGCAGTGGGCATCAAACCCAGGGCCTTCGCTAAGGAGGCAAATGCCCTGCCCTGGAGTCACACCCTCAGCCCTGCCCCACAAAATAACTAAGTTGTTTTGGAAGAGTTAATAGTGGGGGTTTTGCTTCCTGTCTGGACATATTTTTATCTCCTGCCTCCAAAGTAAAAAATAAGTTCATTTTTAAATTAAACCTGCATACATCTCTGACTTTAGGCTTTTCTTCAGCCAAGAGCAAAATGTCTGTAATCTTTACATCGCTTAAAAAATAAGGATATTTAATTCAGACAGATGCACCAGCTTTTGGGGTTTTGCTAACTTAGGTTTGGGTGCAGAACCAAAATTTTTTTTTTTTTCTTTTCAAAGTTTTATTGATAAACATATAGCAATGAGACAGTTTCAAATCAAATCGAAAGTACAGTTTCAACAAATAATACACTGCATATATTCTTCTTAGTGGTTAATTGCTGTACAAGATGCAGACTTGTGATCCTACTTACAAACACCATTAGAAAAAATCATTCTATAAAATGGCAGAAGTGTTTTTTTTTTTTTTTTTTTTTAAACACCGAATGCCTTCAAGGCATGACTGGCTGTATTGTGTTGTGGGGATCGAACACAAGCAACCTGAGCCTGACTGTTTTGTTGAAGCAGCCACTTAAAGAACTGAGCTACCGGGCAGGCCCCCAGAACCAAAATTTAAAGGTTAAAACCTTTTTTTTTTTTTTAATTTTTTTTTTTAATTTTATTATTTATTTATGTGTGTGTGTGTGTGTGCGCGTGTGTGTGTGTGTGTGTGGCCAGCTCAGCCCACCAGGGGGCGGGCTGGCTGGCATGTGGTGCTGGGGGATTGAACCGCGGTCCCTGTGCTTTGCGAAGCTTGTTCTAAGTAGGTGCTTTAGACCACTGAGCCATCTCACCAGCCCCTAAAACCTTTTTTATCTGTAGTGTATAACCAACACCTACCAAATAGTATGAATGAATGAATGAATGAATGAATGAATGAATGAGTAGGTCGCTCAAATCTGAGAAATAGGAGCACTGCTGCTCTAGGCTGTAGTAACTTTTGGTAGAAAGATTTTTGGCACTGTTTGAAGAAAGTTGGAGAGTTCTGGTATTCTTAGCAATGTGGTACGAACAGACTCAAAGAGTAAAAATTGTAGACTGACTTCATAAATTGAAATTTCCAAAATGCTTTTCTAAAAAGTAGAAATAAACCCTTTTCTAAAAAGTAGAAATAATCTGTGTTTACTGTAGAGATTTTGTGAATTCTGGTAAGGAAAGAAAATGAAAAGCCAGTGCATCTCATTTAAAAGCCTTAATAGCTAGAGAAAGAAATATTACCACCGTTGGCTATTTGGTAATAAAAGTATGCAGAATTAATACATTAATAAAATTGTAGCATATTTATATAGTTTAGAATTACTCTTTTGCTTTTGTGACTCCCAGTTAATTTTTTTCTCTTGTTTTTTAAAACCCACAGGCCCCTTCACAGATGTAGTCACTACAAATCTTAAATTGCGAAATCCGTCAGATAGAAAAGTTTGTTTCAAAGTGAAGACAACAGCACCTCGACGGTACTGTGTGAGGCCCAACAGTGGAATTATTGACCCAGGGTCAACGGTGACTGTTTCAGGTAACTTGAAACTTGTGCTGAACTTAGGCAGTTTTGAATTTTGACATTTTGTGACCATGTTTAATCTGGTTTATCTAAAGTGGTTCATTTGAGGGAAGGTAATACTTTTTGTTTTGGCTTTGCCTTTGAAGATGTTCTTATGTTTTCTTAACCGTGTGCATGCTGTTAAGAGAAAATTTCTAACCCTCATCTTTTGTGTTGGAGGTGTGTATGGTTAATTTGTAATTGTCATTAATTTAAAGCTTAGTTTCTAGTTGTTATAGCTTATTGCATTCTCTACCTTTATTTTTACAGTGAGATCTGTTGTCTGTTACATACAACTTGAAAAATTTTGTCTAGGTAGTATAATGCTTCATTTTTGATTGTGTCTGTTGGCTGTAAATGCTCGGGGTCTTGTACTTGAAAACTTTTTTTGAACCCAGGACCTTTGCACTAAGGTCTATACCCAGCATTTGTCTTTATATTTATTTTGAGACACTATTGCTTTTTTGCTAAATTATCCAGGTTGGGCTTAAATTTGAGATTCCCCTATGTCAGCATCTCACAGTGCTGAGATTGCAGGCATGAGTCGTCATGGCCAGGAGAAACTTTACTTTCATTATTCCCCTATGTGTTTACTTGTACTGTAATTGAAAGGTGTGGTGGTTTTCTGCCATGTATGGATCATTACTTTTGCTATAAAGTCTGCTGTCACAGTATCTTCTGTAAACATTTTTCCTTCTCTAGCAGTCCCTCATTCTTCCCATGAGTATACCCTTAGCAGTCTTCTGACACAGCTGAGAAGTAGAAGCCAGTGGAAGGGCCTGTGTGGCTTCCTTCTGTAAGGAAACCCCCCCCACACACACACTGCCCTTTTGTTGTTGTTGTTGTTGTTGTTTTTTGAGACCAGGCCTCATTGTGCAGTTCAGGCTGGCCTTGAGCTCACTACAACCCTCCTGCCTCAGCCTCCCAAGTGCTGGGATTATAGGCATGAGCCACCATGCTCAGCTTGAGATCCAGGTGGTTTTTTTTTTTTTTTTTTTGGCATGGGGGCAGTGTGTGTGTGGGGAGCTACCAGAAATCAAACTCATGACCCTGCACTTGCTAGGCAGGTGCCATGCTGCTGAGTTACATCCCCAGCCAAGAACCTCTCTTTGTGGCAGCTCCCACTGTGTTAAAGAAACATGGGGAATGAGAACACTCATGGATTCATCCTCAAGCTTGTGGTCCTCCTGCCTTAACTCCTGACAAGCTGGGATTATGGGCCTGGACCACTATGCTTGATTTTTTTTTTTTTTTTTTTAATGTATTTAGTACAGCGTCTCACTACGTAGATTGGACTTGTAGTGATTCTTCTGTGTTCAGTTCGCAAGCACTGGGATTACAGGCCCGTTTCAGCACACCCAGTCTCAATCACTCTCTCAGTGCACCCTGGGGGTGGAGCCGGTATGGCACTCCAGCTGCTGTGTTCTACCTGAGCAGGCGCATTAGTCCTCTGAGCTATCTGGCCGGCCCTTATCATTTTTTTAATCCACAAATTTTGTTTCATTGTGGTGAGCTGATTGCAGTTGTTCAGTAAAGGGTGTTAATGGAATTGTGTTATGCTTTCGTTTTATCCATGTGTTTTTATCTTGTTGTATTTTCTACTTCTATCTGTTTGGCCCTTTGAATGACCACTTACCAGTCCAATTAGGTAAAAACAGGATGACAAAAAGTTGCATTTTATTATTCACTTTTATAAGATAATAAAATAATATAAAAACAATTTTATCCAATTTATTCAATATAAGAATAAACTAATTGAAGTGACACCTGCCTGAGCAACACAGTGGGACAGTCAGTACATAAACAAATGTACTGCTTGAGTGTTGCTTAGAGTTGACCCTTTAAGTGATCAATAGATTTCTCAGGCATACCTTATAGAAAAAATAATCAGTATTTCTTACGTTTGTTTAATTGCATTTGTTTCTTTTTGAACATGTTGAAAGTTCAAGAATAAGTTGTTAGTAGGGAAATAATTTCTGTGCCATATGCATACATTTAATAATTGTTGGATTTATGTACGTAAAGTTAGCATGACATATTACCACATGAAGCCCTAACAAACCCCCTAAGAGGCTACTGAAACTCTTAGATGCTTAGAAAAAAATCATTTGGGCTCTAAATTCTGTATATTGAGAAATTGTATGATTTCCATTTGTGGCTTTTTTTTAGAATAAAATTTAATCAAACTTCTCATAGTTTACTTGAAATACATTTTAGAAAAAGTAATTATTTTAAAATAATGTATGACAGTGGGTTTTAAGTCACTAAGTATTTCTCCTATAAGTACTTTGTCTAAATTAAAATTATCACTAAATACTGAAGTGAAACATAAATGGATTTTATAAATTGTTTTAATAAACTGTTTATTGGATTTAACGTATGCTTATAGACACATGAGTTAGTGTTGGCAAAGGTGTGAAAATTTTCACAAACTAGTAAGTTTAGAGGAGGCAGCCATAGATTGCTATTTTTTAAGTACCCATTTATTAATTTGTGGATTGTTAAGGGACAGCAAATCAGAAAGGTGAACAATTTAAAAATAATTGGAAGTCAAAGTCAATTATAGAACATCAGTGTAAATAATGCGGTATGTGGTAGCTTGAACTCATCTTGGTTTTTTTAAGGTGATGGGAACGGTAAACGTGCAGGTGACCACATGATGTGTCTTTTCTTCTTATTTAGTAATGTTACAGCCTTTTGACTATGATCCAAATGAAAAGAGCAAACACAAGTTTATGGTACAGACAATATTTGCTCCACCAAACACTTCAGACATGGAAGCAGTGGTAAGTATAGAAGCTAAACAGATTTCATTTCAGGGAATATAGTTGGAGCTTTTGGTTCTGTTTAACTCCTAACAGAAAAAACTCAGCTTTTAAAATACAAGAAGAAATGTGGGCTGTCGAGTGATTTCATCAGCTGTTGACAGAAGGTACACTGTCAGCTAAAGTACCTGTGGCCTTGGTGGGTAAATGGCAGGGTTAGCGATCACTGCAGAGTCACAGTGTGCCCTCTGGCCTGGCCATTACCTTCCCACCGTCCCACAGCCACACCCGTGCTTTATCTGTCTCTTCAGGTGAAACCGCCTATGTCTCACATTTGGTTTTGTTTGTTTTTAGTGGAAAGAGGCAAAACCCGATGAATTAATGGATTCTAAATTAAGATGTGTGTTTGAAATGCCAAATGAAAATGATAAATTGGTAAGTAAAAAATGGAAGTTGTTGAACATTGCATTTTATTCTTAGCCTTAGGCTGTGTATGATATGGCTAGTTGACTTAATAGGACTTAAAAGTTGAAAAAGCTTAACGGGCATCTTTCATTTATAACATTTTATTTGAGAAATAATGTATTTCTTAGCTCCAAGATGCAGGATGGGAAAGAATTAGTTTTTCTAAATTTTTTAAAATTAGTTGAAGCTTTTTTAGAGGGAGATTTAAAAAACCAGCTAAATACATACCTAAATACAACTAGAGAACAGAGAAAGCCTGCATTCGGTAATTGTATATTGACTGCCTGGGAATAAAAGATAATTTACGTGGATGAGCAGTTGACTCCAGCTTTGACCTTTCCCAAGTACTTTGCTTAGTTGTTTTTTCATCAGAATCCATGTGATATGGTTAGCCGATTTTTTACTGTTGCTCATAGATCATCAGGAGGCAAGTGCGGCGTGCAGGGCTGAGGCCCATGGCTGTGTTTGGTTAGAGCAGCTGCAATAATAAAGCCAGGCCGGGCCCTGTACGTGGACAGCGTGCACCACGGCCGTTCCTCTGTCTCTTCTGGGTTGCAGACTTGGAATTCTTTTCTGTGGTTTGTAGGAGTAGGCAGAAAGTTGTTTCTTGCCTTTTTGTTCACCTGAGTTAGTATATACAGTAATTTCCATAAATACAGTTGTTGTAACTTGATGACAATCTGACATGACTTTTGCTTCGATCTGGGGATCATTTGTCCTGTTATAAGGTAATTGTGCAGATTCAGTACACATGTTCAATTATTGTGTTGTATTTTCAGGAATGCTGAAATGAGAAACTCCTGATAAGTAATTAGGTGTTAGTGAAATTGGTGAATTTTTGAAATGTCCCTTTTAAGGGAAGTGAATTATTTACCAAAAATAAAAGAATGTGGCATGTGTAATGCTTCCCATTTGGGGTTTATTTCATTTCACCTTAGCTGCCAGGAAAGTAATAGCTTGCAAAGCTTTTCTTAATTGAACAAAAAGAAGAAACCATAGTGATGATATTGTGTGCCATCGAACTAGCCATGTTGTTCCAGGGAGGGGAAGGGCCGGTGTGCTGGGGGCATCCAGGAGCAGCACCCAGGCATCTGCTTGCATGCTGGAAGGAGGGTTTTTTTGGCTAGTTCATGCTGCCTTAAGGGCAGGTTTGGTGCAGCTTCTGGAGCTGGGAATTGAACCGTGGTCTTCGGCGCCTGACCGCGTTTGCCCAAGCGGCACCTTAAACAACTGAGCTATCCGGCAGAGCCCCTTGAGTGCTGGAACAGAGCACTGTTCCCAGATTGCCCACCCAGAAGCCTAAGTCCACAGCTCTTCAGTAGCTTCCAGGTGCTCCCAAGAATATCTGCATTTGGGTCCTGAGCTAGCATTAGAATGTTTTCACTAACCAAGCTACTTGTATTTATGGTAGAAATTGTAATTAAACTATACAAAATCTGCTAAAGATCATGCTTTTAAAAAATTGTTTTGGAAAAAATGGATATTAGAACACCTAAAAAAGAAGGCAGGAGAGTAAGTACCATAAATTCACTCATGGCGTTTTTCATTGAACCCAGTACTTTGTCTCACTATTTTAAGGTAAGTCACATACTTATATCTGTAACTGTTTCCATATATCTTTCAAAGGCCTTACAAAAGATCAAGAATTGTAATATTAATACTGTTGTGCCTTTCAAATTTTTATGTATTACTACTCTCAAACTGTCCAGGCAACATTCAAATTTGTCTCAGTTTCATTAAATTTGGGTGGATTATTACAGTTTGTTTAAATTGAGATTGAGAGTAAAATAAAATCCTAATGGTATGGGTGATATTTCTTGAATTCTCCCCCTCTTCTCCTTCCTTTTCTCTCTCTCCCTTCCCTGCCCCTTCCTCCCTCCTCCTTTTCTTTTCTTTCCCATTTGTTTGGAGACAGGGTCTGGCTTTGGCATCAGGCTTCTCTTCAGCTCCTCAGGTCCTTCAGCCTTTACAAGTAGCTGGGCCTGGAGATGCACCTCACTATAGTGCCCAACTTGTTTCTTAAATCTCTTAATCTATATTTTCAACTAGTGAGGTTTGCCTGTGGGCTTGCCCACATACAATCTGATTGCATCCTTGTGGTGTCATTTTTTTTTTCCTTCCTTGGTCTTTCTTATAATTGGAAGTTGCATCTAGAGGCTTGATTAGATTATTTATGCTGAGGGTAGGGGTTGGGCAAGGCTGCTTTGTGGCTGGTTCTAATTTAGGGTGGCATGTGTATTTGGGTTTATTTATTGATTTTTGAAATGAGTGGCCAAAATGTGCAGTGTCTAGGTGAGTTGGGTCTTGTGCAGGAGCAGGCACTTTCCCGCAGGGAAGTTTTGGCTGTTGCAGCTGAGGGGTGGGGAGGAGTGTTGCGACCACCTGTGCGAAGGAAGCCAAGATGATGCGTCATTTCCTCTGTGCGTAGGACAGCCTTTTGACAAAGAGTCTGGCTCAAAAGTTGGAGAAAATGTGACTTAGGTCTCCTAGTTCATTTAAAATTCTTTGTGGTAATATTCTGTTATGCTTCACATACTTGTAAAAGCACAGGCAAAGAGTTGGCTAACACTTGATTATTTAATGATAGTTTACGTAGGCAGGATAAAAGCCCAAGTCTCTTTTTAGTTATAGGCTATTAAGAAAATGGGTTGATTCACAAGCATCCTGTGGTGAGAGCCAACCAGCCACCCTCCCTCTGTCCTCCCTTCCACCCTCATTTTTGGGTATTCAAGCTCATGGTTTTAAATGAACATTGGGAGTTTCAGCTCCTTGCCTTACTATCATTGGTGCTTAGATTGGCTGCAGGAGATTCTTCAGGTTGGATCTTGTGTCCTTTTGTCCCTAACAGTCTTTGTTAACTTTCTTAATACCTAATATGCCAAGATTTTTCAAGGCCCAGATCTGTTTTTTTGTTTTTGTTTTTTTGTTGTTGTTTTTTGTTTTTTACGAGTAGATCTTATTGAATAGTTCAGCCTATCCTTAACTTACTATGTAGCCCTCACTGCCTTCAAATTTGCAGCTATCTCCTGCCTCTGCCTCCTGAGTGCTGCGATTATAGGTATGTGTCACCATGCCTGGCTTTAGACCTAGCTCTAGAGATGACTGTTTCTTGAGGAAATTCTGGACCATTTCAGTTTGAAATGTGAACTTTAATCTCACAGTGATCTCATCAAAAACATGGTCAGTATACTGGAATAGAGGTTGACTTAATTTTTGTTAGAAATTTTGTCAAACCTTGACTGGCTAAGATTAAGTTGAGACCCATTTTTTATTTTAAAGTGCCTCTTTTAAAAGGCAGCATTTTAATGATAAAATCATATCAACTATTCATAGTATATGGATTCTTTTATTATATATATTCCATGTATGAGTAGGAAATGCTTTGGGGGATTTTGGATAACTTAGAGTATGCAGAATCAGGGATTCTCAGAAGAATAAGCATGTCTTTCCAGGAACCAGCTGAACAATAGCTGTAGTATGACTTGCCATTTTTTTATTTGTGTTTGAAGTTTACATTTCAAGTTTTACATATATGAGGCTTTTAAGATTTCCTTTCAAATTTATATAATCCAAATATAAAAAGTTGTCTTTACAAGATTAATAAACAGAGCTGGGCTTAATATGTTAAGGAGTTAAAACACAGCTATAAGCTGAGCATGGTGGCACACGCAGCCAGTCTGACCGTATAGCATATAGTGAGACCCTGCCTCAGAAAACCAAACCAAATCAAAACACAAAACCGAAAATTCTCCAACCAAACAAATAGCTGTATTTTTTAAGGCAGTACATCCCAGAGTGTATGATATTAAGTTGAAGATTTAGAAAAAGTACTGCAAACAGTGTGTCTTCGAGAACGAATCACAGTGTGTATTTGCAAGCTGAATGCTGTGACATCTGCAGTTAACAAAGTATGTGTAAACTACCATTTTGAAACTTAATATAATTCTCCTGGAATATCTAGTATTCTGAAAAAGTACACTTTTAAAAGGTACTATACTACTTGGACGATCACTGTGAGCCCAAGGCCAGTCAGCAGTACCTTGTAAATTTAAGGCCAACCTGAACCAACAAAATCCAACAAAACAAAATAAAACTATTTGGCTTAAACTCTTTCTTGAGCTGTGACCTTCTTAAGTTGCACCAAGAATGTTAATGGCACAAAGATGTGCTTCAGTCTAGTGCAGACTTCCGCACAGACTGCCTGACACCCCGTGCAGCCATTAGTTCAGTGTTGTCTTAGCGTTTACTCGACAGGGGAATCCCAGAGCTCCAAAGTGGAAGTCTTTGTGATAGTGTAGTCTCTGTAAGCATGTTTTTGTTTATGACAACTAAGAATCAAACTTTTTGTAACTTGTATGAGGTATGATTGAAATAGATGGCAGTTTTTAAATTTAAAAATTTATTATAGGAAGAAAAGACACATTGCCGTTAATCACCCTCAAAAGATTTCCCTTTACCTTGAGCATTTTGATCCATCATTCTTGCCAATTTCTCAAGCATTCTGAAAGTCCTCTTTGGTGACTGTTTATAAGATGTGGTCAGAATGCAGTGCATACAGCTGGTGAATGCCATCCACCAGAAAGACAGACTCATAAAAACTTCACAGTGTGCCCTCATCCACCTTGGTCACTAGATCTGGCACTTTGCCAACTCCTGGCTCCCCCCCCCCCCCAGTGTCAAAATGACCATGAAAGGTACAAGTTTTGAATCAGTTCCGGACATTGAAGCACCCACAACAGCATAACTAAACAGTCTGGAGAGAGGACTTCCAGAGCTGTGTTTGTTTCTTTAGTCATGCTAGGGATTTAAGCCAGGGCCTTTTCCATGCTAGGTAAGTGCTGTACCACTGAGCCACGCCCCCAAACTTGTTTTTTTCTTTGTATTGTTGTAATAAATATGTCACCAAAATGCAGTTTATGGATGACAACTTGTGGTTTGACATATAGGTCTCTGGTTGATACATGTACAGTACTTGCTTTTCAACTGTGTTTAGAGAAGTAGAAAAGCTGTATTCAGTTTGTAGGTCCTGTACACATTTATTATTATAATTTTTGTTTCTCTATGTGCACATTGTGAAATAATTGCCATGACTGAGCTAATTAACACATCCATCACCTGCATTGTTACTAGTGTTTTTGGTAGTAAAGAGATCAGCACAATCTGATCTTAGCAGGGCGTAGTGATGTACACCTGTAAAGCCCACCACTTGGGAGAGTGAAACAGGAGGATTGCCACTAATTCGAGGCCAGTTTGGGCTGCATAGTGAATCCATGCCAGTCTTGACCACATATTGAGACCCTGTTTCAAGAAAAGATTTTTATATAGTCATCTTAGGAAAATCTGGTAATTAAAGTGGATAGGTATAGATGCCAGGCATAGGTAATTTTGGTTTAATGTGTCTTAGGTGAACCACCCCATCCACCGTTTACCCTCATGCTCCTGTACCACCCACCACATCTTCCCAAGCCCCAGAATCTTTTGGGTGGCATATAAGTGCTTTAGCTTAATGACACTTGTTTGAGGATCTTTATTTTTAGGTATGCTGTTCTTGGGCATTTACGTGTTGTGAAAACAATGAGAAAAGAATGTTACTGTATTGTTGCTTTCTTTAGCAATTTTAGGACCTTGGGCCTTGGGGAGTTAGCTCAGGCCGGAGAGATAGCTCAGTAGAATAAGTGTGGGTCCTGAGTTCAACCCCCTGTACCATGCAAAAAAAAAATGTAACCAAGAAATTTTAGGGCCTTGTTATTGGACACATAAATGAGAAAATTATTGAATAAAGTTTTCTGATCATCTTTTATGATGAGGCAGCTTTAGAAATGTAATGGTTGAACTATATTTTTAGGTTTATGTCTTGAAATTATTTTTTTTTTAAGTTATAATTTATTTGATTCACCCATCTTTTCATTATGGGTTTCTTTTTGGCAAATTTTTTGATTTGGATAATAGGTGGTGGCCAAGAAAGTCCAGCTACCTGGTAGAATAAAGCGAAGTACTACTAATTTTTCCTGAACAGCAGGAATAAACACTGCCCTCAGGTACACTGCAAGTGTGTTTGTCTTTGCCCTGGGGAACAGCAGGCGAGTGCATACGCCTTTTGTTGTTTGCAGTGGAACTGTCTTAAAGGCTGGGACTGGAGAGCCACTTCATGTTGCTGGGAGGTTGGCAGTGGGTGACAGGTGATGCTGAAGTGTTGGTGTTGTGTGAAATGGCCTTCGAGAGGTGTTGGCTCTCTCTGGGCACCGCCAGCTCTGTATTTGAGAACAATGTCCAACAAGTGATAGAACTTGTCAGAATTGGATGATGGAGAAATTTTGGGGGCTTTATCTTTCTGCTTGACATTTCCTAGATTTCTTGAATTTATTACATTTCCTTTTGCCTTACATCTAATTTCTGATGATGATACTTTATAGAAAAAATATTAATTTGTTTTAAGGAAAGCTGCAGGGGCTATAAAGAACAGGAATTTCAGGGGTTTTAAATATAAAATATTTTATAATTTATTGCAATATTTTATTGTAATATTTTATTGTTAAACATTTTCTGTTGAGACAAAGTACAGATACTGTATCTTTAAATCTGTTCCCACTTTTTATATTTTTATTTGTACTGTAGGAATTTGAAAAGATAGGAAGAGAATTGTGGATGGAACTAATGTTATTTTAGCTAATGCTGTTTTAGCTAGAAGGTTATATGAGCCTTTGAATTCATTTATTGGCCTGAGGGGTGTGTGAGTGAGTGAGTGTATGTGTGTGTGTGTGTGGTTTGAGTAATAAGTTTACAGATTGTTACATTTGGAAGTTCAAAGGGAGAAAGTTGAAGTTGAATGTTAACAAAAGCAAACATAAATATGTATATTTGATAAGTGAACATAATGCAAATAGACCAGCTAATTTTATTTGGGGAGTAGAGAAAGCTAGTTCTAAAACTCCTGTATTTTTTGCTTTAATAAAGCTATTATTGATACTGTTTCTTATGCATAACATTTTTATAGAGTAAAATAAGACTGTTTTAGAGCCTAATCCTGCCTTAGTCATTCCCAGTGTCATGTGGAAGGAATCAGTTTGGTGTGACTCTGAGCGTGTGTTTCCCATCCATGCCGTCTCAGGGGATAGCTTCACCAGGGGCGGCTCCGCTCGCCAGCGCAGTGAGCAGCGTCAGCACCACAGCTGCAGCACCCGCCACTCACCCCAGGACGAGTGATCCCAGGAGACTCAGTGTGTTGGCGCAGGAGAAGCAGAAGGTTTGTTACAGGGAGCTAATAGACTAAGAGGTTTCTTAGGACTGCCACTAAGTTCTTGTAGGGACCTAGCAGAAAGTGGTATTGTGATACGTTAGGTAGGTTTTCCAGGTATGTTTAAAATTACCGTAGAAATTCACTTAAATGTCATGCGACCGGATGGTTATGTTCTAAAAAAATTAACTCTTAGGAAGAACGTGGTAGTGAGCAAGACAAAAGTAAGTGAACCTTACCAAGTAGGTGAAGTGAGATTTGGGAGCGAATGTTACTGAAGCTGGCAGACCCTGCTCTTCAAACAAGTGTTTGTGTTTTGGAAACAAAAATAAATGAAATTACATTTTACATTTTGTTATCAAATACAAATAAGTAACTTCTCTGTCATTGTTGGTTATATACAAAGCCCTAGTGGAAGAGAATTTATAGCTAAAGCGCTAAATAAAGGTCATAATGTAATTTGCTAATTTTTGTGTGTGCATGTGTACGTGTGTGTGTGTGAGAGAGAGTGTGTGTGTGTGTGTGTGCTTAATATTCACTCTAGTAAAATGCTACCCTACCAATAAGCTAACTGATTCTTTGTAGGGGAGGAGGGTGGGTATACTACTTTTTGCTTAATTTAGGTTATAAAAACCTTTATATTCCAATATGGCTTTGAAAATACAACTCTTGCTGGGCCTGGTGGCACACACTTGTAATCCCAGTACTCAGGAGGCTGAGGCAGGAGGATCATTGTGAGTTTGAGACCAGCCTGGGCAACAAAGTGAATTCAAGGCCAGCCTGAACTGCATGGTGAGACCCTGTCTCAAAATTAAAAAAAAAAAAAAAGAGAGAGAGAGAAAAGCAAATGTAAAAATACAATTCTTTAAATGGTTTTTAAAAAGTTTATGATTTGAAGTTACTTACTTGTGGGAATCATGGTCTTAAAGAAACAGTACAGTGGATGCTTAGATTAGAAAAGTGTTTCAAGTGACTTTGTTATTTATGTATTGTCTTTTAATTCACAGAATAAAACTTAAGTGCTAATATTTTATACTGTAGATATAAAATGTAACTCGAGGCCTCGCCTCTTGACATCCCCCTCTCACCAAAATCTTAAGAATGTAGCTCCCTGTTTGTGTCCTTTAGCCCAGAGTGTCCTTGTTCACCTGCTCTGCCTAACGTACCTGATTTTGCTGTTTTTCTGATCACCTCCAGTAGAGTTACTTGCAGTATTGGGGTTGGAATTCTGAAGGGTTTTGAAAATGAATGGAGAGGTACAGCACATAGTCTGTCAAATCGTGAGCTAGTAGAATTCTATATGTATGAATATATGTGCAGATGTATTGTCTTAACCTAAATTGATACACAGCTTGACTTTTCAGCTTATTTTGGGTTTTCGGATTAAATACATTAAGGTGATTTCACCACTTAGCAGTTCATTATGAGTCACAGCATGCTGAGTCCTTCTGGTGTACTTGTTTCCTGGTTCTCAGAACAACCAGTCCCCGCACGGTTTAAAGCTGCTCCCAAGGACCAGGCTCTGTCCTTGTAGCCAGACCTCCCTCACAGAGCTTGTGGGGAACCGAGAGCCCAGGTGCAGCAGCTCAGTGCTTCCTTTTAGGCCCTTTCCTCTTAGTCCCTAGCCAGTGGACGCTACATGTGTTGTACAGTAAATGTCCCTAAGTAAGTTGGAGGACGTTGTGTCTGCTGTGGATGTTAACTTTTTTAGGGGCCTAAATGGCATGCATTCTATGTAACTCAGTGGCATGCAGCATGCACAACTCACTTTTGAAGAGTACTTAACTTTTACTGTATATTCTTTGCGTTCTAGCCTTAGTATTTATGCTCCACAAATTGAGATATCTTGTCTTTGTTGTAAAACCAATGCAACCTCATTAAGGAAACTTTAGTATAAAAAATATTTTCATCACCAGATGTTCGTTGATTACCTATTTAAAATTCCAAAGAACGGAAAGCTACCATCAAACTTCTAATAAAACTTAATCATTTTATGTAATTTTAATAAGGGGTAGAATACAGTGACATTATATTTTTTAAAATAATTAAAAGAAATACATGCAGCAACAAAACAGAAGAGGATTGTATATGTGCTGATTTTTATAAAATGTGCATATGGAAAAATAGGGAGAAAATATAAATAATATTTATGTTAATGAAATAACAGGTGATAATTTCTTACCACTTTAAATTTGTGATAATTTCAAAACCTTGAAAATTTGAGTTGTGAAGAACCTGACAATTCTTTGCTTTTTTCCCTTCATTTGCCTTGCGTACGTCTTCTCACTTAGCTTTCTGGCATATGATATTTTCCCCCTAATTCTTGACTGAAATCTGAAGATCTTTCGTTAAGTACCTTATTGAACAGTGCATTCTTCACCTTGTAGTCAGACAATATATTTGTGCAGGATGATATTTGAGCGCACCTGAAAATCACTGTTAATGAAAGGAATGGAAAACGATACTGGCAGAGAGCAAAGTCTGTGTGTACCAGGCGTGTTAGTCGGGGTGGTTGGTTCGTGGGAGAGGGGCATGAAGAGCAAGGAAGCTAGGAAGAGAAGACTGAAGTAGGCTCCTTAAAGCCCCTCTGGCCTGTGATGCCTGAAGGAAAATAGAGAATTCCGTCCTCAGATGAGTGGTGTTGGGCGAGAGAAATACATTGTAACGTGAAGTTTCACAAGTATTTAGGCCTACTGATCATAGGACACCAGGGTTTTGATCTTTAACAAAGACTTCTTACATATAAACGAGTACTGCGGAATGCATGCTTTTGTAAATTCCTTTGCTAGCAGCTTATAGCTGAATAAAATAGGATTTATCTAAAACCTTTTGGGGGGGGGGGCGCTGTGAGGGTGCTGGAGCTGTAACCCAAGGCCTTGTCTATCTTAGGCAAGTGCTTCGCCCGTGAGCAGCATTCCCAGCCCTCTAGCTTAAACAATTAAACATTTCAGTAAATGAACAAAAATACTTGTGTACTGATGCAGTTATGCGGGTGGTGGCATAAGTGCTGTTGGGAGGAAGGCTCTGGAGGCATTGGGACCGCAGGCTCTTCCATAGGTCCTTCACTTGATAGTGACGCTAGTAAGAGTGAAACATTGGCACTCTTCCGTAGTTCAGAAGTATGGTAAATACTACTTAAGTAGAATTCCACAGTGAATCACATTAGTTAAAGCAAACAGTATTGCCAAGGATGTGAAGGACTTTAAGATCAGTGTTTAAAACTCCCCACCCTCTTCTTTTGTTAAAGAGTGGTGTGTTTGTGTTAGCCTCTCCCTTTACGGTGTATGTGTGTCAATTACTTTGCCCCAATGATAGAAGTTAGGTTTCTCCTTTGAATGTTTCTTTGATAGTTCCTAATTTCATCTGGAATGATTATGATAACATTCCCCTGCCTCCCTCCCCAACCTCATTTGAATTGCAGAATCAGCACTGAAAATGACCTTCATATTTGGATTTTGGTTGGCATCAGTCATCCAGCGTACTTTAATTGAATAACTACTATTGGCCAAAGTGCTGAGTTTAGGGGTTAATTCAAGGAGAAACGGTTCTTGCTCTCTCAGCCTTTGGAGTATTATAGGAAAGAACTTCAAAGATACATTATTATGATATATGATAAATGCTCTGGTAAGGTAAGTGCTAAGGATTGTGGGAGTAGAGGAGGTAGTGGGCTGCTCATTTTGATATACCTAATGCCTGTCGTTTATTGATTTAGTTCTTTTAAAATTGTTTGCAGATGAACATAATAATTTGGTATTTTTTAAAAAAACCTTACCAATGAATTAGAAGATTTTTCAAGTTTTTTTTTTAAGGAAGGAATTAGATTTCATATTTTTGTTTAAAATATGCAAGATTTGGTTAGTTTAAAAGCTCATGTCTTTGTAATGCAGAATGATATGGAACCTAGCAAAGCTGTTCCACTGAATGCATCTAAACAAGATGGGCCCATGCCAAAACCGCACAGTGTTTCACTCAATGATACTGAGACACGGAAGCTCATGGAAGAGTGTAAAAGACTTCAGGGAGAAATGATGAAGCTTTCAGAAGAAAATCGACACCTGAGAGTAAGTTCTGGGGGAAACTAAGTTGAAATGAAGGTGTAACAAATGTACTACTAATCCTCTCAATGAGCGTTTTTAATGTTTCTCTGTGGTCAGCTCTTTCTCCCTTATCCCAGTTTGACTGTGGCCTGACCTCTGCTCCATTTCCCATCCTCTTTTAAGACTTCCTGGGGCTTCTTGTTGCCTGTGAATTCCTCTCCTTAGCAAATACCTAAAGAAATTCATGGTGTGGCCTGTGACATTGCTAACTTTCTCTCCTGTTTCTGCTGTTCTCTCCGTTCCGTGTCCCAGGCATAGTGAGTTGCGTATGACTCTGTTGTCCTTTAGTGTCACTAGGCTGTGTGACGCTATTGAACACTAGAAAAGTGGATAGGTTAAATTAAGGTGTGCGGTGAGTATAAAACACCAGATTTGGAGTCTTAGTATCCACAAAGGTGTAAACACCTTTTTTATATTACTACGTATTTAAATCTTATTTTGGATATATGGGATTGGATAAGCATGTTAAAATTAATTTTGGCAGTTTATTTTTACTTTTTTAGTGTGCTGTTAAAAATTTCAGATTACACATGTGGCTTGCATTTGCTGCTCACACTGCTGACGTTGTAGTGCACTGGGCTAGAGCACCCTAGAAGAGTATTTTCCTGTTCACTGCTTTTGCTGCGGTGTGCGCTCTCCTAACTACACTACAGAGCCCTGGAATCTGTCCTTTTCTACACCACACACTCATATACTTTTCACTACCCAACTCTTGTCCGTCTCAGACTGCTGTTGCTTTGTGCTTGCCCTGTATCTGCTGTCTTACTGCTCTTCACTGGTAGTGGGCTTTCTCCCTTGGGTATGTAGTTCTCAGGGGCAGGAGCTGCGTTTCTCTGTGTTTGCCATCGCAGGATGCACGTGGAGCAGTTTCATATTTGAATGAACAGATGGGTGGACTGTTGAGGGGGACTGACTTGGATGTGTATGAGGTTTCTGAATAATTTACTGGTGACAAGTAGTTACTTGGTTCAGTACCTATTTTCACATTACCTTTTAGGTTTTAAAACTTTACTTAATCTAGCCTGTGCATCTGAATCAACCCAGTAAGCTTTAAAAACACAGTTGACTAGTCTGTAGACCCAGAAATTTGGAGTCACCAGTGATATTTTTAAAGTTGTAAAGGTGTACCTGGGGAGAATCACTGCTTTTAATCTAGAACTAATAATTAGCATATGACCCAGAAAAACCATGTCAGTTCCCCAGAATCCAGCAGCGCACATAAAAGGGTATACTGTTAGGTCATTCAGGTGTATTCCTTGAAATACTTCCTCATAAGCTTGCTGTAAATTCAGAAGATTGCTGACGGGCTGGCAAGATAGCTCAGCAGTCTGAAGTGCCTGCTTAAGCAAGTTTAGGCAAGCACAGGGATTGCAGTTTTATTTTTAAATATTTATTTTTTTATTTATTACATTTATTTATTGTGTGTGTGTGTGTGGCCAGCTCAGCCCACCAGGGGGCGGGGCTGGCTGGCATGTGGTGCTGGAGGATTGAACCGCGGTCCCTGTGCTTTGCCAAGCTTATTTCAAGTAGGTGCTTTAGACCACTGAGCCATCTCTCCAGCCCAAACAAAGTCTACCTGTAATTTTTTTTTTTTTTTTTTTTTTGCGGAACCAGGGATTGAACTCAGGTCCTTGCACTTGCCAGGGAAGCGCTTATTCCACTGAGCCATCTCCCGGCCCAAAAGAGTAAACAATAGAGTATATTTATTTATTTTTTTTTGGTGGAACCGGGGATTGAACTCAGGCCCTTGCGCTTGCCAGGGAAGCGCTTATTCCACTGAGCCATCTCCCCGGCCCTGGGATTGCAGTTTGATCCTTAGTGTCATGTGCTGCGACAGCCCCACTCCCAGAGCAGGCTGAGCTGGCCACAAATAAAAGACCAAAAAAAAAATTACATATCTATCTATCTATCTGTCTATCTACATCTGAATAAAAATACAGTGGTAGCTCAGTTCTGATTATAAACAACTGGACAGGAACCCGATCAAATATCCCCACAAGGTCAGTATTGAATCGAACTGTTAGATTTGATTTGGTTCTCATCCAATTTGATTTGTGACTGGAGTTGTGGAAAGAATCAAGCTTGTGAGCCAGGCCACTGCTGTACCCTCAGTACACCTAAGCCACTGAGCATCCCTGCAGCACAACACAGGACTGTGACATAGTGTTCCTTGTTCTGGAGTGGTCCGCTGGGAGCCACCTAGTGGCCCAGAGAAGATCAGGCTGTATCTTCCAGCCTGGAGAGAGGCCAGGGTTCCAGCTGGAGTCAGTTAGGTCCTCGTGAAATTGGGGACGGTCTGTAAATACAAACATAGTAGTGGAATCCTGTGAAAGAAGACTAACAGCTTACACTGAGAAAGTAAAACTGTCCTGCCATTGTCAGACTGGTGATGGAGATTAAAGCCAGCTGTGTACTGAACAGGTACCAGTGTTTTCCTAGGTCACCTTCACAGTGTCGTGACCTGCTTGAGAGGCTGCTGCTGTCCTGTGGGAAAACACTCTCCTAGTAGCCTAGTGTTTCCGAAGCTTGCTGTGGGAGACCAGGAGGGAGTGACCACTCCTGCCTGGAGGCTCTGAATCACTTTGATGCACAGAAGCAGGCTCAGTTCCCAGTTCAGGTGAGACTTCAGATAGGGGTTCCAGTGTGTGGCAGTCCAATCTATTATAATTTGAGGCTTTTAGAAAAGGAGAATTCTATGGTCCAAACCTAGTGTAAGTCCTTGCACACACCTCCTTGCCTGCTTTGCTTCAAATATATCAAAACTGCATCATGTAGAGTTCATCCTGAAACCCTGCCCCCCAAATCCTGTAATGTCTCTTGTGTGGAGCATGCCCTGTGCCTGTGTTGTGCTTCTGAGCTGAAGGGTCAGCATACCTGTCAGACTAGGTTTATTCCTGATTCTCTTTGCCTAGAGTAGGCATAGCCAGTTTAAAACACTACAGACCCTCTCAGAAATGAACATGCACAGAATTAGCATTTTAGGTATTCAGTTCCAGGTTTAAAATCAGTGCTAGTAAGATAACATTTTATATCTTATGGAGATATTCATTGTAAGAATACATACAGTTCAATTTTAGTAAATTGGTGGGATTGGGCAGCCAGGAGTTTAGTCCAGTTATAGAACATCTCTGTCCCTCCACGTAGCTCCTCTGCGGGCTGGCAGTTAGTCTTCACTCCTGTCCCTCTGCTACTCTGTAGTCTTTAGCTCTGGTGTCATGTGTATGTGTATTTGTGTTTGATACCTCTCTCTCTGCATTTTCCCCTAGGAGGAGGGCTTAAGGCTCAGGAAGGTAGCACATTCGGAGAAGCCTGGCTCGGCCTCGGCTGCGTCCTTCAGAGACAACGTCACCAGTCCTCTTCCCTCACTCCTTGTTGTGATTGCAGCCATCTTCATTGGGTTCTTTCTAGGGAAGTTCATCTTGTAGAGTGAAGCATGCAGAGTGCTATTTCTTTTTTTTTCTCTTGACCAGAAAAAGATTTGTTTACCTACCATTTCACTGGTAGTATGGCCCTCAGTGACCATTTTTTGTGTGTACAGCGTCAATACAGGCTTTGCCTCTAATGATCTCTTATGGTTAGAAAACACAGTAAAAACTGTCGGCTGCTGGACAGGTTGTCTGTCACCAGGTCATCATTAGCAGGTGTCAGTGGCACACAGTCTTTCATGAAATTCATAATAAAGAGTTGTTTTCTTTGTGGTTTTAATAAGAGTTCAAGAATTGTTCAGAGTCTTGTAAATGTTATTTTAATAATCCCTTTAAATTTTATCTGTTGCTGTTACCTCTTGAAATATGATTTATTTAGATTGCTAATCTCACTCATTCAGGAAATGCCAAGAGGTGTTCTGTGGGGAAATGGTGCCTCTTACCATATACATTTTCTCCTTTACCTTTGCTAATATCATGGCGGAGTTTTTCTTACCCTTGTGAGGCAACTGTTCACTGAGTTTTTCATCCTTACAATCCTGTCCCATGGTATTTAACATAAAAAATAAAACTGTTAACAGATTCTTGCTCGATAGCTTGATTGTGTCTGTGGTGTCATTAGAGGGGGTGGCAGAAAGCCCATGCTGTCATACTTGAAATTTGCAATGTATAATTATCTCTAGCATCGAAATCCTTCCATATAGATAACACAGTATTTGTAATTAAAAGTGCACGTTCTGTTAAGGAAAATCAGTGGTGAAATTTGAAGCTACTTTTGGAAGATCCTAATTGGTTTGTTTTCAAGAAATGTGAACAAATGCCATGAAAGTAAAACTGTTATTTATGATTTTAGGGGGTTTCTGTGTGTGTCACAAGGCTGTTTGATGCACCCCGTTCTTCATCAGGTTTTTTGGTGTTTTCACAGAAGGCTCTTGACTTTCAGGTATTCACCCAGTCTAATATTTTTAGTACTTTCTACGTATTTCATAGAGGTAGTTAGAAGAGGGTGTTCTTTCTTGTCTAGCTGAGCACTCAGTTTTCACCCTGGAAATTCAGGGCTGCTGTGCAAGCCTTGGGGACTCTTTGTGAAGAGCGGCCTCGCCTTTGTCAGCAGTCTGATCAGGAAGGACACGGAACGGTGCCTGCTTCAGCAGCACAAGGACTAAGACGGTGCAGAATGCAATTTGATGTGACTATTCCGTGACTTTCTTGTACTTAGCTTCTGTGTTTATTGTAGTCACACTAATGGCAGTATTTGGAATCGGAGCACAAAGCCGAGTACATTCGAATCCAACTATTTTTATTTTTGGAAGTTAGTGTTGGTTTTGTGAAAGGTGCACTCTGCCTAAGAAAGCAGCTGTGTGTTGGGGCTTGATGCAGTGCAGCGAAGTAGGGTGATGCAGATCTACAGACATACCCTATAAAAAAGTGAGATGTTCTAAAATATTTTGGTTTTTATTTCAATTGTGTTTTGAGTGTGTGTCAGATCACACATACTGTGTTCTTGGACTCTGTGGTATTTTTTATAAAACGTCTTGCCTTTAGCAAGAGGTACTTACTATCATTTTAAAGTCCCTTTTTTTGATCACTGGGAAAGCATGCTTTAAAAAAGTCTTATATTTTCATCCCATACATGTAGAGTCAGTAATTCCTTGGCCAAAACCTTTTCTATAACTGACATCATTGATATAAGTATCAAGCTTGATATTTCATAAACACCTTAACTTTTTTTTTTCAGTTATCAAAAATGTGAGCAATCTTGTTTTATGGGAATGCTCCTTAGAATTTATTATGTTCAACCCCTTTGTTTTATAGTTGAGGAATATGTGGCCTTCTAAGGGCTTCCACGAGAGAACTTTTCCTTTGCCCTACAAGGTAGGTAGAGGCAGAGCTGGCACCAGCAGTGTGAGGTCTCCTGACTAGCTCTGCCTTTATGCAGCTTCATAGGAAAACAATTGACTTGTGATTTGAAAGATAGGTGAAATAGTGAACACACAATGCTAATAAGTAGCTGTGAGATTCTCTCTCACCAGGCTGCATTTACAGCCTGCTGTGTCTCCTGTGTGCTTTACTGTTAGAATAGCAGTGCCTCCCAAGTTGGTAATAAGTACTACAGTGTATTTTTAGTTAGGCATTTTGCAAAGTGGTTGGTTTTGAGACAGACTGTAGTCTATATTAGCATCTTCAGAAGTAAATGTGTGTGTGTTTTTTTTTTTTAAATGTGTGTTTCTTAACTACATATCGGTGGATGCTCTGATTGGTTAGGACTCTGTAATTGTTCTATGAAATGTGATCAGATTATTCTACTGCCAGTAGTTATACCTGCAGAAGAGTCCAGCTGTACTAATTGATGTACGTACATCGTTGCTCCTCGTGTATGTTTAGAAAAGTTTGCTTTGTTGGTCTGTTTGCTGGACTGTGTAAGCTTAAGGGAGTTAGTCTTGCTGGCACTGAAATTATAGTCCGGTAACTGAGGCCCTCAAGTTCACGTGTGGCGCTGAGTGCACTGCTTTCCTCATTGTGTCTAGAACTAATGTACCGTAGCATTGCCCGTGCCTGTATTGGCAGGAAGCAGGTCAAGAACCGTGTTCTGAGTGTGTGGTGTGTTATCTTGAAAGGAAAGAAGAGAAGCGACACTTAGAGAAGAATACATGATTCAGAAATTCTGGTCAAACAAGTAATACTCTTTAATTTTTCTCTAAAGTATCTTAGCTAAAAAGTTCTGAAATTGGTATTATATAATGGAAAATTTTGGGCTATAACCACTGAAAATATGATGCTACTTTGAAAAACATTGTAACACTTGTTAATAAAAAACAAATCTGTCCTTCCTCTGCCACTTTAGAAACACTTTTAAATGGTAGTTTCCCTAGTGCTTTGCACATTCCTATTCAAAGACTTAGTGTGTGCATAGATTTTAAAAATCTACATTTTACCACAATGACCAATGGGGGGGGAATCGACATTTTGGAGGGTTAGGCAAATATCAGTGCTTGGTAGTATGGAAAAAACAAAACCAGAAGATAAATAAGTGATACTTATTTTCTAGCTTTCAAGGGCAGTTAAACTATTATGTGAATAAATCAACTTAAAAGTGTGGTGAAGTATCATTTTCCTTTCCACAATAAAAACATTTTATTTCAACGTAATAATCGATAGTTTATGTTCTGTTAAGCATTGGCGCTAGTTGGTGACTGGGACTTGTTCGAGTTGCAGATAGCCTTGCTTATTGGCCTAGGGGTGAAACATTTTCTCAGTAAAGCACAGTTGAGCCTGCGGCTCTGCATCTGGTGCCGTGGTGGGCAGCCTCGTCCTGCATCGTGCAGGAGCAGTGATCTTGGAGTGCCTGGCACTCGGTTGCTGCAGAGAAGGGCGAATGGAAGCCTTTCCTCCCCTCGTCTGAATGCAGTAATCATGGCATTTTAAGCAATGTGGAACGTAATAAAAGGGCCAAGTTATTCCTCAGTTGCTATGGACATTCGTTTCCCTGTAATGTTTATGCTCTTTAAGCAAAATCACAAGTTACATGCAACTTGGTATTGTCTTTGTTTACTTTAATCATCTCTGGTTCAAACATTTGGCTTTTACAGCTACTTTCTCAAAGCGCTGGGCATTTCGTCAGGGCACACCTGGTTGGCCTTCAGTTACATGTACACCCCTGTTAGCACATTGCTTTTGTTTAGAAAATTTGTTTTCCACTTGTTCTTGTGTAAACCCACCTATGAGTCTTTATTTTCCAATACAGGAAAAGAGGGATTTTTTTTGGTTTGGTTTTGGGTTTTTTTGGTCATTTTGAGACAGTTCAGGCTGGTTTTGAACTCGACTTAAAAATTTACTTTTCTTTTTAAAATCATTAGGAGTCATCTTCAGGTATTGTTTACTGTGAAAGTTTTCATAAAGTCACATTTTTAATACGTAAATGTCAGCTGTGACTACAATAATAAAAATCTGAGAAATTCTCTGAACTTTAGCTTTAGTTAGCATTTTGGTACTGTGCACCTAAGAAGTCTATTTTGCCTGTCATGTTTCTCAATGCTTCAGGTGATTTTTTTTTCCCCCCCTGGAATCAGGGATTGAACTCAGACACTTGTGCTCACCAGGCAAGCACTTATTCTACTGAGCCATCTCCCCGGCCCCTTAAGGTGATTTTTAATTATAATACAATTTTAATCACTATGTCCCAGATACTACTTTTTGTTAGTAAACAGATTTTAGGACCTGAAGTGGGGAGAGGGATGGGGGGAACCCAGGGCCCCTGCACTGAGCCATATCCACTGTCATTTTTAAACTTTGAAGCAGCATCTTGGTAAGTCATGTCAGTTGCACTGGCTGAGCTTGTACTTGTGATTCTCCTTTCTTAGCCTCTTAGTGTTGGGGGGGGATTTTTTTTTTCCTTGGCAGTCTTGTGAATTAGAAGTGGGGCTCTATGACTGAGCTACACTCTTACCCCTTTTTATTTTGGGACAGGGTCTCTCTACACCCAGATTTGCTGTCCTGCCCCAGCCTCCTGAGCAGCTGGGATTGTAGGTGGAAGCCACCACACTTGGCTATGGGACAGATCAGCTGTGGGTGGCAGGAGATGGGCTGTAGATTAGTATTTCCTTCACCATTTGCTTTTGTTTTTCTTCCCATGAGAAATACGTCTTTGTTTTTGTTACTCGCTTTAGAACTTTTCTTCCATGGAGCAAAACACAAGGTTACTGAAGTACTCTCAGTCAAGATCTTTCCTGAGGAGGAAACAATTAGACCTAACAATTGGTGGCATTTCTCTCCAGCCATTGTGTGTGTTGCCCCTATAGCAATGCCTGCTACATGTAGGTGATTTTAACCAGCAGTGTGCAGTGCGTCTTGTGAGTTGTCACTGCAGGTTCCCCTCAGCTGCCTGACTTCAGCCTCATTCAGCCGTCTCATGGCAGAGATGCCGCGTGCTGCGTGTGCACTGTGCTCTGCCTTGCTGCACCAGGTTGAGCACTGCTCCTGTCATCCAGACTCACGGTGATGGTAGTGGGTCCAGCAAAGGTGCTGCCATTGCTGCTGAAACTTGTCGGGCCACATGGCCCTTACAGCCAGGTGCAGCACAAATGGGAGTGGGCGCCACCCTGCGTGGCTCAACTCTCGGTCCTTGGGTGGTGGCTGGCTGGCTGGAGGTTCGAGGCCGTGGTCCTGGGAGCCGTGTGGTGATGTGGGACTGTGTGTGCTCACACACGCGATGTGAAAAGCTGAGGCCAGGGTGCAGGTGAGTGTGCGGTGTGAAGCAGGCCCTTCAGGTGTCTGCATGTCTTGCTGACCACCCAGATTGGTGCAGGGCTGGTGGTTTTTTTCTATATTTGGAAAGAAGAGAAACAGCATGAAAATCTGGAATTCCCACAGGAGGAAACTCAAGGTTTGGAACTCAGCACTTATGCTACCACGTGGCAGCAGCTCCTTGGAGCTGAGGGGCGGACAGCTGGACCCACAGCCCCCAGCGCACTGGCCTCGTTGCCTGTGTGATGCCTGTGTGTGCCTGCGCTCACGGTCTCTGGCTTGATCCCTGCTGCACACCAGCAAATGGAGAGTTCAGGTGGAGCTTGGAAGGGAACATTCTGTGGGGCTGGA